AGTTGGGTAATGAAACATCTGCAAGCAAACAACCAAGCTCAGAGAGCACCAAGGACTCCCAACTGATTTATTTGTTTCTCATGTAGTAATTCTATGCCAATTATTTCTATCATATTCATATAAGAATTAATGCTGCTCAATTTTTAACACTAAGCACATTAAGCCTATTGAATACTCGTCGGGAAGTTGTTTCCAGCCCAGGATATTTATTCCAAGCAGGATAAATAATGTTTATTATAATCTTTGCCTATAATCAGAGAATTATGGATCAGAGAATGCTACTGGATTGGATTCCATGGATGAGAGAGAGAATAATCTGGTAAAAATTAATTTATATATACTAAACTAGTAAATTGTAAGTGGGACAAAGAAGCATACATGATACAAGGTAAAAGACCTGCTACCTTGCATCAGATTCCTAAGTAGGAGACACAATGGCAATCTGAGGTTCTTTTACCTTTAACTTTTCTCTCTCCACTTCTCTTGCTTCCTTTGCATTTCTCTCTCTTTTTTTTTTCAACTGCCCTTGAAGAGTATCCAGAAGCTTCAACTGGTGCAAAAAGCAGTGGCAAGGTAGTTATGTGTACTCCTAGAATGGCACACATTACATTTGTGCTCTGTGAGCTGCCTTGGCTAGTCTGCTTCTGGATTCAATTCAAGTGCTGGTTTTAACCTTTAAAGCCCTACATGGCATGGGGCCAGGTTATTTGAGGGACCACCTCTCTCCAGTTACATCGATCCAACCCATCAGGTCTGGCAGTAGGGCATGCTATGGCTCCCATCTTCCAAGGAGCTTCACCTGATGGGATCCAGGAGACGAGCCTTCTCTACTGTGGCACCCACCCTGTGGAACATCATTCCTCCCTAGGTGAGATTGGCCCTGATCCTATTGACCTTCTGGAAATCCTTTAACACTTTGTTTTGTCAGCAGGCTTGGGGATCTCAGGGAAATAGGGAGCCTGCAAAATGGTTGCATTGTATGTAAGATCTTGAATGCACTCTCCCATGGCTTTGTTTATATTTATCAAAAAGTGCCTACCACTCAACCCACCACAACACAATCAACACAAGCTATGAAAAGGATAACACAACCATACATCAAAAACAACCAATTATTACAACCACATGGCATCACTGTAGCACAAAAATCAACTAAAGCCTATATTTGAACAAGATTGCTATTCCCTTGTCTCCCAGAGCTCTAAGCCCACCAGAGACCACTGTCTTGTGGTCTCACAAGGAGCAACTGTATGGAGCTCTTGGGGGAGATCTCAAGTCCTCTCCTTGTCCAGAGAGGAATTACAAAGAGCCAGTCTACACACCAGCTCTTCATTCTACCACAATTGTCAGCTCCATTTTTCACAGAGCTGTCTTCAGTCCACCATTTCTTCCCTGGAAGTCCCCCATGCCTTGGATATCTCATGCCTGTACAGGTAGTCCTTGTTTAATGACTGCCTCATTTAGCGACTATTCACAGTTACAATGGTAATGAAAAAGTAACTTTATGACCAATCCCCACATTTACAACCCTCACAGGTCTGTAAAGCAAAGTAAGATCATAAACACAGTCACGGTCTCACTTAGTGACCACTTTGCTTAATGACCAAGTTGCTGGTCCCAATTGTGATTACTAAATGAGGACTACCTGCATTATTCTAATGTGTCTACTAGGGGCTGTCTTTGAAGACCACTCAGAAGCTGCATCTGTTCCAGAATTCAGCAGTGCAAGTAGTTAGGGGTGTCCCTTGGTGTACCCATGTAATACCATATGTATTACATAAACCCAGCCCCCTGGGATTAGTAAGTTAGTCAACATGTTGCATGAATTCAGGCAACTGGTGTAGTAAAGCAAGGTTAAGATAATGAAGGGTTAAAATGTTATGCAAACACAGCCACAGTATACATATGTTAGTTTGCTTTTTTCTCTTTTGATTAGTTTTTCCTTCTCAGAGTTAGCATAATCATCTGGAAGACAAACTTGGATCTGGCTAGCAAAAGTTAGGCACTTGGTTCCTGTTTCACTGATAAATTATAATGTAGATATTTTTATCCACATTATTGAATGGAAGATATACAGACAGACAGGCAGACAAATAACAGAGATAGAGACAGATAGAGATAGAGATGATGTTGGGAAGGATGTAGTCTTGATTCTCAGGAGAAATTGACTTTATGGGATAACCCCAGCCTGAAAATTGCTGGTATATATCTTCCTTGTGAAGTTCCTAGGCAAAAAACATAATTAACACTTTGGATCAGGTTACTGTTAATAAGTGTTTTGAAACATTTTGTATGCTGCAAAAAGAATTCAGATTGTTTAAACTGCTGAATTAAAACATCCTTTGACCTTACAGTTTGGGCCTGATGCATTAGCAACACCTGAACCCCCTACATGATTAATAATCTTTTGGAGGTTCCCAAATTTACAGTTTATTTTTCTGTTTGATGGAATAGTATTACTAAAAAAGAAATGGGGAACCTGCAAGAAATTTGAAACCAAGAACTGGAATATTCCATTTTGACAAATAAGTGGGACGCAGTTTGAAAATACGTTTGTATTCTATGATTTCAAGATGCAATTAATTCAACAAAATATTGTTTTTCATGTTTATTTGACTCCCCAGAGAATGCATAGTAAGGGTTGCATTTCAACATCTATATT